TTTGCTCCTGGAGCCTTCCTAAACCTGTACCGATCCCACCTGGGTCGACGACTTGAGTTCCTTCACTCTCTCCTCCTCTTCAGGGCAATTCCTGCTGACGGCTTCTTCGCCCTGAAACCTTGGATCCTCTCCCTCGACTCCTTTGTCTGGGTGAGATGCATCCGCTGCCTTTCCCTCCGTGCCGATGCTGGCGTCCTCCCTCCGGCAGGCTTCAAGGCAGCCTTCTGCTCCATGGGAGACAGTCCTCACTCCTCTTACCTCTAATTGGGGTTCCAGGGATACCTTCCTCGTCGACTCTCCTCCTGGTCTTCCCCCTTTGCCCGTGCCACCTTTTATCTTCCCGTGCCGGCTCTGCTCACTCCTCCCCACAGCTGGCCTCAGTTTTAAAAAGACGCAGCTAACAGGCCGCGCAGGTCCTGCTGCCACTTCCAGTTTCGCCACGGTGTCAGCTGCAGGTAAGGGATTCTTCATTTTTGTCTCTCTCTCCTTGCCTTCCCTGGTATATTCTGGCCCCTCGGGGTCTGTCCCCTGTATCCTCCCTGTGACAAGCTCTATTTTTATATTGATAATAAATCTAGACAGCTATTTAGGGAAGCCTTGATCAGCATATTTAATTATCCTGTGTAGAGTTTCTTCATGATGGCTCACTTCCAAAATAAAAATTGTCAGTTGGAGGAGAGACCTCAAGTCTAAAACAACATCTAAGCTTTCCCCACCCTAAAGCAGACACATAGAACACATTATCCATACAAGTAACTATATTGTACTACCTCAAGATAAATGTATCTGAATATATATACTCTTGTTTTCATTTGTCTAATGCATAAAAGTCACCTTTAAGAATTGTTGCCCTGTTAACTGCACGGGATGTCTTTTTTTAGAGGTAATGAAAAATCATGCTGCTTTCTAAGTAATAATCATCTAACTTCGCAAGTAACATGAAATGTTGCAACTAAAAAAAGCTAAAATATATATGACTGCACTTTTTATATAGTCAACTTCTCTTTCTCTTTGAAGATGGTTTTTCTTTTTTTATGCAAGTCTTTTATAAATATTCTTAAAATAAAGACAGAGCTGTGTGGGGGTGGTTATATAATAAAGGGCTTAGTCTGTCTGTCTGTACCGCTCTTGGAGCACTCTGATTGGTTAGTGGAACAAACAGAGTGCAGAGCGTTGCTAACACAGTGCAGAAGCGGTGGAGCAGGAACGGAGGCAGCGGTGGTACGGGGTGCTGGCAGAGGGGGACAGAGGGGCAAGCTTTCTTTCCCCTCCTCCCCCCCAGCTCCTGGGAGGCGGCGGCAGCATGGAGTGATGGGTGGTGGTGCTCCGTCCCTGCCCGCCCCCTCCCCCTCAGTCATTCTTGACAGGCAGTTCACTAGTTGTAAAATATTAATTGAAATCTTAGACATGCATAAAGATTTTTACTGTAAGTTGTATTGTTTTTAAGAATAAACAATAAGGGATGAAGAAATGAAAAAAGGACCCTTCAGTTTAAGGCATACAGTAAATTATTCTACTGAGCTTGGTAAATAAACGTTCCAGCAGTCTGTTAGCTGAGCCAGCGAGTAAAATAAATTTATTAGATGTTCTGAGAATTCAAGAGAGGCAGTTTGTCTGCCTTTAAAGGATCTTCCCTACAAAACTTCAACTATTATCCTGAAAAGGGTTTTTTTTTCTTCTCAGAGTAGATAGAATTTTGTTCCACTTTAGCCTTTCATATGCCTCTCTTCTGATAGATATGTAGGAGAGGAGCAATATATTATGGCATTAGTGATAATGATATCACCTAAAGATATCATGGCTTTAGTGACTTTCAGGATAGACTCCTTTTATGTGCATCAGATGGGGTTGAATCAGTGTTTTAATCCAGTTGTTTTGGCTTTGCATGAAGTCATTCTATGGCTTCCTGCCTGCATAGGAAATCATGCAGCTGTTCAGCTTGAGATGAGTAGAAGTAAGTTTCTGGGGGTCAGAATCAATATTCTGAACTGCAAGGATATATATATTTTAAACTTGGACTTTTTCTTTGATACTCCCAATTTTCTCTTCAAAAATGAATTGACTTATGAAGTAATTTAAGAAACACTGGCAACTTTTGATTGTTTGGCTTTTCTGTAAGCTCTGATTCAGTGCGACCTATCCTCTGCTTTTCTGATAACTCTTGAAGTCAGAATGTTGACAGTTTCCCAGAAATTTTCATTATTTTGTAGTGAGGGAACAGACTTTTGTAGAGTATCCATTTTAATGTACAGGGCCAAGATGAGTTGTTTTCTAAGCATCCAGAATCCTTTAGCTTCAGCCAATGTTTGAGAGAGGAAAATCATGCCAATGATCTGTGCTCGTACCCAGAATCTATGCCTTGGAAAAAGTCTGAGACATTTATTTTCCTCCTCTTCCTCTATTTTCTACTCATCCCTATGAAGTGGAATAGAAAAGTCTCTCTGACAGCATAAGGTTCAATTTGTGTTCTTTGAGACTCCTGGGAGATGTTAACTTCAGTGTGTGATGGAATTTGAGGAACTTTATCCCAGTTCTCAAAAATGGCGTGTCCTGACATGCCAGCCATTCATGTCGAGGCATGTCAAGTTGTAGTGATTCTGAGATCTGGGATAAAATTCCTCAGATGTCATGGTACACAAGGACCTTTAAAGCTGTGCCTTGCAGCCCAACATCAGACTCCAGTGCCAGTCTGCATGGCTTGGGTTTAAACTTGCCAGTGCCCAGGCAGCCTGGTCACTCCCCTGTGCTGGGCACCCCAGGAGCTGGGAAATTTTAAATTAGGCTTGTGGGAAGCTCAGCACAGGGGAGTGACACTCTGTGCTAGACTCCCCAAGCATCCTTCAACATTCCACATGTTCAGTTTAAAACATGATACAAACCACTCACAAAGGTGTTTCATGTCGAACATGGGACATATTTGTGTCTAGTTTATCACTACTATCATGTGATAAATTGGTTAAATATGCAGCCTGTTACAATTTATTGTGCGTTAATTACACAATGAATGTAACATCTGCCAGGGATCTGAATTTCTCTGAGCAACTCTTAGTTCTCAGTGTGATTTTGTAGTTGTTTCCCCAGATGTTACCAGACTGCCCCCTTCACCACTTTTTTTTATGAGCAAAAAGTTGTATTTGTAGTATCAGTTAATTGCACTATCAAAATTAGTTGGAACAAAATTTTATCAAATTGAAAAGTTGTTTTGGTCTAGTAATGGTGCCAAAATGCTAAATTTTACTTTCTTTAAATGGCAAACTCCATACCTCAATGAAAACTGCATGCACATGTGGAACTCTGAAGTAAAGGAAAAACATGCTAGGCTGTTTTTAGGTTCTAATGTCTATAAATAACACCTTGAAATTAGACCAGGTATTGAGATGACTGATATGGTTTATGTCCATCGCATTTAATGCTGTCAATTTTTAACATTAATTAACAATGAGGAATTTTGTTTTGACAAGTAATTTGAAAATTAAAAATCTGAATGTTTTGGTGCAAAAATTTGAACATGGTCCATTTTGACATTATGGAAAGACTTTTTGTTTTAATTTTGATAACACTAGATTTGCTGTCAAAACACTTCATTTGAGTGTCTCTGCATGCTTAGAACAAAAAGCTTAAATCCAACTAAACATTTCTTCATCAAATTTCTTCTTGAGACTAGTTTTCTGTATGTCCAACACTTAACTGATTGTTGGTTTCAAAAGTTTGCAGTTTTAATTTGCCACTGTATCACATCCTTCAGCGTTTCTTTGTAATAACAAGAGAACGCTGAAAGTCAAACAACACCATCATTTAACTGCAAACACTGTCTGCATCCAAATCAGTCTGTTGTCTGAGTTTAACTCGATATTGATCTGCAGAATTCAGACTGAGACAAACAAAAGCAGCTGAACTTGAAGTCAAAGTAGTTGTGCTTGCTTAAACAATGGCTGTAATCGGTGACACAAGTGTATTCTACTTTGAAAATATTTACAGAATTTTTGTGGAGGTACAGTGAATAGTGGGTTCAGCTCACATATTGAAGAATAGGAAGATGAAAGATCCAGGTGTTATAAGGTCACCTGAAATCCCACAGAGAATATGGAAATTTTGAACACCTTTTGAATGGGTTATGAATAAAAACAAAGAGCAGAAGATAACTGATAGTGAGCAATGGGAGACTACTGTAGTGTAGTGAAGAGTGACCACCATGGGAGAATTGCTGGCTATGAAAGTGCACTTTTTATCTAATTGAGAAAGGTATACCTAAGGACAAATGATTGGAAGCTGAGATGCAGGAAATTCAAGAGTAAATTAAGGCATAAATGTTTAATAGTGAGCAAACTGGCAAGAAGAACTGTGGATTCTTTATTTCTCGGGAACTTAAAATTAAAGCTGGGTTTATTGTAGAAGACTTGTTTTAGCCAAAAAGTTATTGAGCATAATAAAGTGGGGTTAAATGTAATAGTTTTGGTTGCATAGGAAGTGAGACTACATGATCTTAGGGACACTTTTTTTGCTTTAAAACTATCTATTAGGTGAGGGGGGGCTGAGAAACAAAATCATTGGTTTCAGACAGGGAAGGTTTGCTCTAACATGTAAGCTGAAATTTTCTGTCTCTTAATTTCATCCCATTATGTCCACCTATGCAATGCTTGTTTAATATTGAAACAACTCAAAACAATTTGCTTTAAAAATAGTGAGTCATAATTCAAGTTTTCATATACTATATGTTCTAATTCCCCATGCCTGACGAAAAACTCTGTAGTGTAGGACTAGTGAATTTACTACTGTATGTGGAATGAATACTTACAAATATGCTTACCTGGAATATTTAGAGGAAACCATCAAAATCCATTTTCAACAGGTGCAAATTACAGGCAAATATGCTGATTTGATTAATAAGGTTTATTTTTTTGATGCTAAGTTTATCTGGTAGTATTTTGTGTCCTTCCTAATTATGTTAAATGGACTATAGTATTTAGTACTTGTATTTTAAGCTGTGGTTTGTTTTTCAGGTGATTTTCCTCACCACGTTGTTTTATCTATTAAGTTCCAGTGATGAGTACTACAAACCAGTGAAGTGGGTGCTTAACCTGACACCCTTGTCACAGCCGGGGCCAACTTCAAATATCATTGGCCAATCTGTGGAAGAGGCTATAAGGTATATTTTTGCTTTCTCATTATTTTACAAAAACATTTTTGTGATACTTCATTGCATGAATGTTGAATAACTTTAGTTTGTTTAATATTTTTTAGTTTAATGTTAACAGTTTCATCATCTTGGGAATGGCCATTCATGTTCCAAGCACTTTGGTCAGATCTCGCATTTGATTATATTAAAATGCATTTCAATAGGAATGAAGTACCTGAATATCTATGAAGATCCTTAGAGACCTGTGTGTAACCAATGAGAGGAAACAGAATAGAAACTTAATTCAAACTGATCCACATTGAGCTTTCCACTTCCATACTCCCCTTCCTCCAAAAAAGGCAGCCCCAATTGTTGAAGCTTTGGAAAAAATATAATTTACTAATGTTTGACTATGTTTCAATATAATGCCATTATCTTCAGTTCATTTTCACAGAAATATGCCTTTATGTTTTTAAAAACACTAGCAGCTTTCAATAACCAGAACATAATGGCTAAAAAAAACAAACAAAAAACCCAACCCATTTAGTAATTTGTAAAAGTAGTGTTATATATTTTGGGTTCAAAGATGATATGCATTTCAACCTAATTTTATATATATATATAACTGCTTTTACAAACTATGAAATGTGCAGCATGTGTAATTTACAGTGTTATATGTTTGAAATAAGCCATATCTGAGAGAGGTCATCAGAAAGGTCACAGCAGTGCTAAACAAGGTGTTAGGATAATAGATGAATAAGTGCTGAATCTATTTGAAATTGAAGGGAAAATCTAGGTAGCAGAAAGTAATTAACTTGAAATTGTGTTGGGAGATTAACAGCCCTTCTCTTGAGGAAGTACTGTGGGCTTTTCATTGACCACAGTTGCTTAGTAGCCATTTCATCTCCTGTGAAAGATTTAAGTTGATTTTTTTTAAATGAAATTAATTTAAATCTCCTCTAAATTTTTTACTTGTTAGCCCATGGTACAAGGGAACAGAACATTGCAATATTGGAAAGTGTCTTCTCAGTGCTGCTGACATAGGCAGTATGAGATCTTGGCTCCAGAATGGCACATAAAGAGATCGTGTTAGTTTTGCAGGTCCTGTTTTAAGTAATGCAAGGGATTAAATCATCATCCAGGAGGGATGCAGGGATAGAAATAAGGGGGTTAAATGAAACAATAACCAACATACATGGGGTCAGTGAAGAAGAACAAGCAGAGCGAAAGGAATGCTGATCTACTGGACAGAAGATTTTTGTTACAAAACACAAGAGTCCAACTCAGTTTAGTGTGGGGGTTCCTCCTAGTATTAGATGTTTCCCTTTGGAACTTATTAGAATAGATATGAGCTTTTTCTTCAGATTAATTATCTGAAACCCCAAGCAGGATTAGAGATGCTATGAATCGTATTGAGATAAAGGGAATAACTTTATTAAGGTAATCAATTTTCATAAGATGGTGTTTGCCAAATTTAGACCAGTTTCTTGGTGACTCATACTTTCATTAGTCAGACTAATGTCTGTTGTTGTTTTTTTGTTTATTATTCCTGATGTAGTTAGCTTATACCTTTATGCATAGCTATTTGTTCCTTGTTTGTCAGATTTCAAGTGATTTTGAAAGTACTGAATGCATATTCATTAAGCTTTCTTTCAAGAAAATTCTTTTGTTAAAGTTTTGCAAGTATCGCTTCTACTAAAAAAGGTCAGTTATCATTGACCTATGAAGAGTAGTGACCTAAAAATTGCACAGAATCTTATATGGCTTCCATATTAAATCATATGCTGATGTAATGTAATATGGGATGTACTACAGAAAATCAGTAAGCTCCAGTGGCTTTATGGATTGCTTAATAATAGGGCTGTGCGAAGCTTCAGTTCCTGATTTGATTTGGCGGAGATTCGGCCCGATTCAGTGGCCAAATCTCCGAATCCAAATCAAATCAGAGGGCCCTTTTAATCTCTCCGAATCAAATTGGAACCCTCCAAATTGATTCAGAGATTTGGACATAGACTCAGCTTTGAACGTTTTTTCTACATGCCTCTAGGCAGGGCCGTCCCGGGGGGGGGGGCAATTGGGGCAACCGCCCTGGGTCTTGCGCTCTGGGGGGCCCTGCAGAGCGGGGCAGTGGCAGCTCCACATCCAGCTGCTTGCTCCTCCTCCACCTTTTGCTGCTGATGCCGCTGCCAGAAGCAGCTATTTGGGTCTGGGGCCATGGGATCAGAGCAGGGGTGGGGCCCCTCGTGCTGATTTACCTTGGGCCCTGCACCCTGCTCGGGTCAGCTCTGCCTCTAGGTAGCAGGGGCTCATGAATGCTGTGATGCTATGGTGTATGGAGCATCCCACAGGAGCACGGGGGGGCTCCCCAGCGTACTCGGCAGCAGACCTGGAAGTGGACCAGAAGCACTTCTGGGTCTGCCAGGGAGCATGCACTGGGGGGCCCCTCATACCTCCCCTGGCTTGGCCCCCCTGGGCCTCCTGGGTCGGGGGGGGGACACCCCAGTGTGCTACCTGGCAGACCAAGGAGATGCAGGGGGGCACCCCGGTGTGCTACCTGGCAGACCTCAAAGTGGACTGGAAGTACTTCCAGTCCACTTTGGGTTCACCACCGAGCACCTGGAGGGCCCCCCTGCACTCCTGTGGGATGTTCCATGCGCCCCAGCATCACAGCATTCACAAGCTGCATTGCTACCTCAAGATATGTAGAAAAAACATTTAAATCTGTGTCTGTGTCCAAACTGCTGATTCTCTGGATCAGCATTGAATCTTCAAATTCTGATTTGGCTGAATTGAATCAGGGACAGTGATCCAAATCAATGAATTGAATCACTGTCCCTGATTTGAGCCAAATCTGAATCGAATAAGGGGACAGTTTTGCATACCTACTTAATAATGATGCCATCTTAAGCTGTCGCAGAGTTCAGACATTAATTCAGTCTCACTGCATCCATGAAACAATGTGCCAAATAATTTAAGAAAGTAACGAAGTTAATCTAAACATAGCAAGTGTGCAGGATTCCGACTCTTAACTCTCATGCCTTGGCACTACCTTTCAGGTTATATTCTAGATACTTGAGTTAAGAGACCTTAACACATGCCAGCCAGCCCTTTTTGGACTGATCAGTGAAGAAGTCTCTCCACAAGACTTTTACATGTTGACTTGTGAGCCTCTGTTTTCAGAAAAGACCAACTTTTCACATGGCTACCTGTCTGCACCCAGTGTACCTCTTCTGACTCCCTTCACAATACTTAAGAGGGCAAAGGCACCCTAGAGTGTGGTACTCTGGCACCATCCAGTTGTGGGTCTGGTTTAGCAGTGCATTAAAAAAATCTTTTAGGCATTTGGTGCATCCATTCATGTGTAACCTGCCTGTGAGAATCCTAAGATTGTCTGAAATGATCTAAAAACTTTAGAAAGTGAACACATCTTTGTTTGTTTGGTTTTAATATAAGCCTGTAGGCAGTACTGTTGTTTAAAGAACTGCATTGAAATGATGGATTCCGTTTCTCACTGTTGTGACCTGGCTGTCCTGCAATTAAATGGTTAGGTCAAGGCTTACATGATCTGATGCAGAACAGTTTAATCTGTCAGAGGAATGTCTAAAATATGGCTATGTATAAAGCTTCATATTATTGTCATTCCATAATGAAGATTCCACAAATTCAGGTGGTAAAGCAGAATTTTGTTTTAAATGGTCCTTTTGTGTTACAGAATTTTTTCTGAAATAGGAGAGCCTTAACTTTCTTCATTGGAATTTTTGAATTTCACAATGTACCTTGGAGGATGGCAATTAAATTGGGGTGGCGCGTTTTGGGGAAGGGAATGGATGTCATTAGGATACACCTTGAAAGAATTTTGTTATTTCATCAGTCATGATTGGGGATCCTGCTTTTCTCTACTTAAAGATCACAAATTCCCTGATAACCCCCTCCCTCTCCAACAAATTCTTTGATTCAGAACCCCCAAAACCACATTTTTCCATGATTAAAATGAAATATTACTGTTGAGGTATTAGTTGAAAACAATGGATGAATTGGATGCTTATCTTGCTGGGATTCTATGACCCCAGCTGACTTCCTGCCCTTTGGGTGGGGGGCTGGACTCAATGATCTTCCAAGGTCCCTTTCAGTCCTAATGTCTATGAAATCTGTGAAATGTTTTATTGATATATTTAAACTTTTAAAGGAAATTGGAAGCCTGCCAGTGCCTCAGTCACTATCATATAACAAATTCTAAATACCTATACATTTTGGTACTTAATTTGGTGTTTTTTTTATCATGGCAAATCAGCTTCCCCTGCCCTCTTTTCTCACCAGGATGCAGGGCCAGCTGCAGCTTTCCCCTCTCCACCCCTGGCTTCCACACTGCTTTTTGGTGCTGAGCAGCCCAGATATTCTTGTGCCCTGTCAATGCCATTGCCCCATCCTCCTCACCCACACCTCCCTGCCCCCCCCCTCCCCCCCAGCCCTGCTGCAGGGAACCCCAGCTGCCAGGTCTAAAGGGCTAGGGATCTGGGTTTGCATCCCCCTGCCCCTCACAGCAGTGCCTGAGCCCTGACTGCTGCCCATGGGAGGCAGCAGCTGCTGTGGCAGAGCAGAGCACAGAGCCTGGCTCCCCTTCCCCCATGTATGGCAAGACAAGAGCAGAGCCCTTGTGGGGGTGGGGAGGGAAGCAGGCTGCCTGTTGTGGCGTGCCTGCCCCCACACCATGCACAAATCTGGGGGGCATATGGCCCACAGGAGTAGGTGCAGCAGCAGGGAGCCGGCCCTCCTCACTACCTGATGAGCCACCTGCAGCTCTGTCTTGCTCCCTATCTGGGCTCTGTAGCCACACATGGCCCTGAGCCCTAAGCCCCACGTATCACACCAGCTGGGCAGTAGCCCCAGCCCTGCCCAACTCCCTCCCTCCCTTCCGATGGAGGCCTCAATTCCCCCCTGTCCCCTACCCCAAACTTACCTGTGGGTTGCTTTCCAGCATGCTTGGTAGCCATGTACATGTATATGTGTACGCATGTACATGGTCTTCCCTG